CTCGAGCGAAATGCACGACCCCACCCTAGCACGACCATACCCCAGCACGACCACACCCCAGCACGACCAGACCCAGCACGACCCCACCCCAGCACGACCCCACCCCAGCACGACCATACCCCAGCACGACCACACCCCAGCACGACCCGACCCCAGCACGACCCTACCCCAGCAAGACCACACCCCAGCACGATCACACCCCAGCACGACCTCACCCCAGCACGACCACACCCCAGCACGACCACGCCCCCAGCACGACCACGCCCCAGCACGACCACGCCCCAGCACGACCACCCCCCCAGCACGACCACCCCCCAGCACGACCACCCCCCAGCACGACCACCCCCCAGCACGACCACCCCCCAGCACGACCACACCCCAGCACGACCACACCCCAGCACGACCACACCCCAGCACGACCACACCCAGTCGCACCCCCGTGGAATGTTTCGTGGCGTGTCTGGTTGAGTGGTTGCCTGTTCGTGGGGTGTCTCGTGGAATGTTTCACGGGGTGTCTCGTGGAATGTTTCGTGAGGTGTCTCGTGGAATGTTTCGTGAGGTGTCTCGTGGGATGTTTCGCGGGGTGTCTCGTGGGATGTGTCGTGAGATGTCGCCCAGTTGGGTATCGTGAAAACGTGACCATGCTGCACATGTCTTTATCCCTTTCCGGGTTCGTGGGTCCATCATGTTTGATGTATCCCGAGCAGCGCCGCGCGAGAAAAGAGCTCTACGAGGCTTCCGGCGGCTACCTGGTTGACGGCTTACCGCCGGATTCCAGTTGGTCGACTGGACGTTTCGATTTTAGGCGAATGTGTATGATCAGTTCCTGTTGAACGGTGTTATCCGGGTTTTGGACTGCATAAGTGACTCGTAGAGCTTCCCGAAAAGCGAAGTGGCGAAGCTTAAGAGTAATTCGAAAACGCTTGCAGGCCAGTTGGCTCGAAAAAAAATCGACGGAAGTTTTGCTAATTCTGGGGCGGTTGAAAGTCATTCTCTCGAAATTCATTTGTTTGAGCTTTAATTTTTTTCCTTCCATCTTCGAACTTATTCCCGCTCGCTATCTTGATCTCTGGTGGATTGGGTAGATATTATTATCAAAAAGCACTCTGGCGGGATTGGATGTTGAGCGTCCTCTGGACAGATGGTGACGGTTGATTTAACTTAACTCGAGCTGTAGATCAGCGACAGAGCGGACAGGCACACCTAATCAATCTGGAAGGAGCAGCAGCGCTCATCTCGAGTATCTAGACGCCTGAGATCGGTCTGTTACCAGAGCTGGGACCCTAGATAAAAGCCGTTTTTGCGATCGAATTCGTTTGAGAGGCTAGGTTGGTTTCTACTTAAATCGAGCTCTAGGCAAGCTGCGGAGCTGTAAAGCACGCCGTTCAGCAGGAAATGATCGTAAGTATTTGCCAACGGAAGCGAGACGTCTGATATCTGTCCGCTACTTGAGCTACGTCTCAACATTCTACTTCCACTCTTACAAATTTTGAGAGGTCAAGGTTGGTTTTCCCTACTTAATTCGCTTTAGGGGAGCTGTTCAACTGAGATGCATTCTCATCGACAGGAAATCATCAGGCGCTGGTGCACCCCCGTCACGCCAGGCGAAGCAATTCCTATCTGCGCGAGCGACGGCGCCGCTCGCGGCGCCGCGCTGCCACCGGCAGGCCGTGGCCGACGCCGGCGCGCGACAGCCGATGACGACGGCGATGTCCGTATCGTCGCGCTCGACGTTTGAGCGCGCCCCTCGCATCTTCTTTACAGACCGAACCTTCGACATCAACTTTCAGGTTGGCGTTGTCGTCGATGTGCTGCTCGCGCTCTCGACTGTGCATGCCCCGAAGGAGTGGGTCGACGAGATCACGTCCAAGATGTTGGCCGCGGGCTGGGTTCCCATGGAGCTGGGGCCAGGCCTGTGGAACTCGTGCGACAGCCGGATGATCGTGGGCATTGAATGTGCCCGTGTGGACGATGCGGCCATCAGCGCCGGCTCGACCATCGTCCTCGCGACGCAGAGGTTCAAGGAGCTCGGGGGCAACGGAACTGGGGCCAATGGAGGGCGGGCGGGCAAGTTCATGCAGACGGGGCTCGAGATCACCCAGCTCGCCGATGGTGCAATCCAGTAGTCATTCCAGAAGGCCGCCAAGAAGGTCACCATGATCGAGGGCAGGCCGCAGCCGCTCAAAGGGGAGCTGGAGGACGAGCTGCCGCCCGCAGGTAAAACTGCCTGTCGTGCAGCTAGGGGGCCTACAGTACCTTGCCAGTCAAGGGATGGGTCTCATTGCAGCCGACACGAGCATTGCCACATCCTACCGGAACGAGGCTACCTACGCCAGAGTGCGGCACATCCACAAGTTTGTCCGAATCGCCTATGAGGTGGCGGAGATTCTGATTTCCAACCGACCCCTTTATGAGATCCAGTGTTCGTGACGTTTCATGACGCCGCTTGACCTCTTCGACGAAATGGCGGATCCCAAGTGGTTTCTCACTGGCCATGGCCGAGAGACGTTTCGTGGACGGAGAACGCTCACCTACCTCTCCGCTGCTGATGGTATCCAGGCAGTGTCAACGGACTGCTCGCTCCAGTCTCGGCCGTGAGGTTTCCAGCGGCAACGTGGCGGACGAGGAGGCGATCTACTTGCGCCTCGCTGGCGTGGAGATCCTGAACGGACGAGTGGACCAACGTGCTATACCCTTGGAGCTCAAGAAGACGACGGGCACCATGGTCACCGACTGCAGTGGCCTGTACGACGCCCTGGTGACCAATGTGAGTGTTGGCTTGGGAGCCGCTGGCCGTTGGAGTGGGTTCCAGCGGGACAGCCGTGAGATGAATGCATTCTGGAGCGATGCCTGCTGACGGCCTGACGAAGGGCAGCGCCGAGGCTAGGGCGGTGACGATCGACCTCCTGGCCAGGGACCGCTGGAGGCTGGTCCATGACGACTTTTTCGCGTTGGCCAAGAAGCGTGCGGCAGTTGTCCGCCACGTTTTCTTCGATGACGCCGTGATCAGAGAGTGCAAGCCTATCAGGTATGGGGAAGACGAGGATGAGTCGGTGCAGGTCTGCAACTGGGACCCGGGCGCGTTCGGCAATTACCAGACCGACGATTTCGAGGAGACAGGCGACTTCCTCGTGTGATTCGTGCGGTGATCCACAGCTTGGTGCATTCATATTGTCTGCTTTTGCCTTGCCCTCTCTTTCTTTCGTGCATACATGTACTCATTCGTCCCGAGCCATTGGTTAGTCAAGCTGCGGCCGTGGAAGAGGAGGGTTTTCCATATCAACGAACACACGCGTTGATTAGGAGAGGAGGAGGAGGAGGAGGAGGAGGAGGAGGAGGAGGAGGAGGAGGAGGAGGAGGAGGAGGAGGAGGAGGAGGAGGAGGAGGAGGGAGGAGGAGGAGGAGGAGGAGGAGGAGGAGGAAAAGGAGGAGGAGGAGGAGGAGGAGGCGGAGGAGGAGGAGCAGGAGGAGGGAAGGAGGAGGAGGAGGAGGAGGGAGGAGGGAGGAGGGAGGAGGAGGGCGGAGGAGGAGGACGGCGGAGGAGGAGGAGGAGGAGGAGGAGGAGGAGGGGGAGGAGGAGTGATGGGATGAAGGGAAGGGAGGTCGGACCCCTTCTTGTGTTCTTTTGGGCCATCTCGGAGGCCTTCGCGGCTCATTGGGCACATCCGAGAGGCCCGATGGAAAGGGGTGCCCTGAGCTCCCTGCCGGGCGCGATCTGTGTGATCTTGACTGGTGTGCCGAATTAAGCCGGCGACGGTATGCGAACGCCTTTCTTGTAAGAACACAGCGGCATGAGCAGACCCAAGCGTCGACCCAAGAACTCGACGCGGACTTCTATGAGTTTTTCCCGGGAAGGGCATAGGCCCAGGGTTCTCTGTTCCTATGTAAACATGTCCCCGGTGCCCAACTTGAAGGAGGCCGGCGGATTCTTTCCCTGAAAAATATCGAGGTCGAAGGAGGCCGGCGGATTAAAATTTGAGGATGTCTCAGGCGAAACGCTTGTTTTTGAAATCCCGATCGATAAATCACAGGGTGCGGGACACCTCAGCACGACCACACCCCCAGCACCACACCCCAGCACGACCACGCCCCAGCACGACCACGCCCTAGCACGACCACACCCCAGCACGACCACACCCCAGCACGACCACACCCCAGCACGACCACACCCCAGCACGACCACAACCACACCCCAGCACGACCCGCACGATAAACACCGCCCCAGCACGACCACACGCCAGCACGACCCCACCCCAGCACGACCCCACCCCAGCACGACCACACCCCAGCCACGAGCACGACCCCCCCAGCACGACCACACCCCAGCACGACCCCACCCCAGCACGACCCCACCCTAGCACGACCACACCCCAGCACGATCACACCCCAGAACGACCACACCCCAGCACGACCCCACCCAAGCACGACCCCACCCCAGCACGACCACACCCCAGCACGACCACACCCCAGCAGGACCCCACCCCAGCACGACCCCACCCCAGCAAGACCACACCCCAGCACGACCACACCCCAGCACGACCTCACCACAGCACGACCACACCCCAGCACGACCACGCCCCAGCACGACCACGCCCCAGCACGACCACGCCCCAGCACGACCACCCCCAGCACGACCACCCCCCAGCACGACCACCCCCCAGCACGACCACCCCCCAGCACGACCACACCCCAGCACGACCACTCCCCAGCACGACCACACCGCCTTGGTTGAGTGGTTGCCTGTCGTCGTGGAATGTTTCGTGGGGTGTCTCGTGGAATGTTTCGCGGGGTGTCTCGTGGAATGTTTCGTGAGGTGTCTCGTGGAATGTTTCGTGAGGTGTCTCGTGGGATGTTTCGTGAAGTGTCTCGTGGGATGTTTCGTGAGGTGTTGCCCAGTTGGGTATCGTGAAAACGTGTCCATGCTCCACATGTCTATATCCCTTTCCGGGTTCGTGGGTCCATCATGTTCTCGTGTGCCACTTTTGGCTTTTCTAGCCGCCCTCGAGGCCGTTTTGGCTCCAGACCTGTGCTCCAAGGCTTTGGCGGGTTGCCAGCCCAAAGATCTGATGTCTTGATCCCTTCGTGGCGGAACCCCCAGAAGTCCCGAGCCGCCCCCCCAGGACTCTCTCCTCGTCGTGAGCTGGTGTCTTGACGGCCGTGGGGCCTGGCGAGGGCCCCAGAAGCCGAAACCGGGAAACGCCTCCGCCTTGATCATGTCAATGCGTCGGTAATACATCGGCCACGCGCAGAAGGGTAGGGGGAGGGGGGAAGCTCTCTTAACATCACTCCTGCTTCTCAGAAGGCGCGGGCCCTGCTTATGCAGATGTATTGCCGTCGCCTTCTGAGCAGCAGCCTCCCGGTCAGAAGCCTTCCCCCCTCCCCCTGCCTCCCTCTGCGCGCCGCCATGTCTAGGCGCGTCCCGGGTCCGCGCGCTCGGGTGCCTCCCCGTCTGCGCGACCCGCGCCCGTTCTGGACCGTGCGCGCAGCGTTGCGCGGCGCGGCCAGGCATGGTCCGTGCCGGAGGCAGGGGCGCGCCCGATATTGGCTGGCTGGGCTGCTGCGGGCTGGCGGGGCTGCTGCGGGCTCGTGCCTTCTACCTGCCGGGGGTTGCCCCCACGGAGTATCCCGAAGAGGGAAACGCGGCACGGGCATGAACGCCAGGGCGGCCACGGTCGGACGGGGGTAGGACGAGGAAAGATCCGTTCCAGAGTTTTCCGGAACGCTGCCAGGGCGTCCCTGCCGTCGCGTCCTACAAAACTGCCTGGTGTCAGAGATCTCCGACATACCCTCACCCCAATTTGTCTTCGTGTCCGGGGGTGAGTGGGGGTGATGTCTGGGTGTGTGTGTAAAACGACGCGAAGATCGGGACAAAATCGGATCGGGATGACTCGAAATCTCTGAGAATCGGCCCTCGTGCGGCCGTGGCCCGTATGCGCGCCCCCCCCCCCGTCTGGGACGCCCCCGTCGCAGGACGCCCCCGGGTAAACTCCCGGAGGGCCGCGCGGGTTTCTCGGATCGGTGCGGGGCGCCACACCGGGGTCCAGCGGTGATCAAAAAAGATCTGCGCGAACTCGGGGGAAGAGGCTCGATGACCATGGCCAAGGTGTCGCGGGAGCTCGTCGACGCCGATTCTGGTCCTGGGCCATGTTGGCCGCCGCCGATTCGCGAGGATGATCCACGAACTGACGCTGAACAAGACGAGCATTGATCCAGATCGGCACCGACGTTTCCGCGTTCAGTCTTGATCGTCGTCGTTGTTTCCTTGCCTCCACAGACCTCCGGAGTTTATGCTCCATGCAGTCTTTCTTCTTCCGGTTTCACGAGGGAAGCCCCGTCGAACTGAAGGTGAACAAGCTCACGAGCGTAAAGACGCAGCTCCCCTACCGATACTACGTGCTGCCCTACTGCACTCCCGATGAGATCCACGTGGCTGCTGAGAACCTTGGCGAGATTCTGCTCGGCGACTCGATCGAAAACTCCATGTTCGACATCAAGATGAACGTCAACGTCTCGTGCGCGAACCTGTGTACAAGGACGCTGACCGTGGACGAGAAAAACAGGTTCAGGAACATGATAGACCACGAGTATCAGGTCAACCTGCTGGTGGACAATCTGCCGGGTGCCATGCGGTACTACCGCCGGGGAGACGAGGGCTTCTCCTACACCAACGGCTTCCCAGTGGGTGTGAAGAAGGAGGGGAGGTATTACGTGAACAACCACGTTCGGGTGGGACTGCAGTACCACGTCGACCCAAGCGAATTTGAGGGCTTCCGTGTCGTGGGCTTCGAGGTGTTCCCGCAGAGCCTGGTCCACCGCAAGAGCGCGGTCGGCGATGTGGCGACGTGTGAGGATGCGGACGACGTTTCGCCTCACTGGGACCTTGCCGAGCACGATTCCATCGTCTACAGCTACGACGTGACGTGGACGCCGAGTAGCGTGCGCTGGGCCTCCCGCTGGGACACGTACCTCAGAATGCACGAGGGCCAGATCCACTGGTTCTCGATTGTCAACTCGCTGATGATAGTTCTTTTCTTGGCCGAGGGCCTCCGGCCGTTCCCGTCTGCCCCTCCCCGCCACAGGCATCGGTGCATTTCTCGTCGCCGTCGTCGTTGCCCTCTTCCGACTCCTTCGATTCGTCCTCCTGGGTGCTCTCGAGGCCCTCTTGGGAGCACTGTTGGGCCGCCTGATGGTCCTTCCTTCTCTGGTCTGGTCATCCCTCTTTGATCCTTTGGGGTTTGCTTGAGTCTATCTTGGTCCATCTCAGGGCACTCTGTCCACCTCGAGCTTTTGCAGTTCGCAGGTCGCTCTTGGAGAATTGGTCATGTGGCGGGCTGTTGGGTCAGCCAGATTCCATGGATCCCTTAGGCTCTTTTTCACTGTGAACTCTCAACCTGGCACAGGGGCCCCTTGCAATGGGATCGTGCCCTGGCTGGGAACGCGGGCCTCTTTTGCAATTCATTCGGGATCGTGGTACTGGGAGCTCGGACCTGTCATGATTCACCAGGGCTTCTTGCCCTGGAAGCGCGGACCCAGCGTGATCCACCAGGGGGCCGTTGCGCTGGGAGGGCAGATCCTTTGCAGTTTGCATGGGGTCGTGCCCTTGGGGAACGCGAATCCTTTTTGATGCATTCGGGATCGTGGGCATGGGAGCGTGAACTCCTCCAGGAATTGCGGGATCCAGCGCCGTGACTGCAAGGGATCCTGGCCTTGGGAGCGCGGATCCGTGGCAACCTGCGGAGCATCTTGGTCCTGGGAACGTGTATCCTGGACCCCCTGCAATTCACCAGTCATGTCGTGGTCCGGGGAGCGCGGGCCCGTGGTAGATTACTCGGGGTCGTTGCCCTGGGAGTGTGGGCCCAGTGTGCAGTGTGGGCCCGTGCCGAGAAGCACCCTGCTCGCCTCCAGGGTGCCCTGGGCCTCTTGGGCTCCGAGGGTTTTGCGACGGGAGACGTGGCGTTCCACACAAACAGATCCATGGCCGTCCCGGGGTCTCGGGGTTAGGTGTCTTGTGGGAGATTTCTCTGTGGTCGGACCTCCACAGCAGTTCACGATGGACCGCCGCCAGGCGGGCCCAGATCCGTCGCCCATTTGTGGGCAGCGTGGGCCCGGGACTCACGGCGAGCTCCAAGGGATCGCGGCTCGCGGAGCGTTCCGCCCGCAGTGTTAAGTCGGGCGGGTCCCTCTGCAGGAGGAGTAGTAAACAATAGTCCAGACATAGTCAGGGGACGATTTTTTGACTATCGTTGAGTATTTTTTGTGAATTTGTAGACTATTCTTCATTTTTTCCCGGAAAGGGCGTGGGCCCAGGGTTCTCTTTTAGTATGTAAACAATGTCCCCGTGCCCAGCTTGAAGGAGGCCGGCGGATTCTTTCCCTGATAAATATCGAGGTCGAAGGAGGCCGGCGGATTAAAATTTGAGGATGTCTCAGGCGAAACGCTTGTTTTTGAAATCCCGATCGATAAATCAAAGGGTGCGGGACACCTCAGCACGACCACACCCAAGCACGACCACACCCCAGCACGACCACGCCCCAGCACGACCACACCCCAGCACGACCACACCCCGAGCACGACACACCCCAGCACGACCCCAGCACAGACCCCACCCCAGCACGACCACGCCCCAGCACGACCACACCCCAGCACGACCACACCCCAGCACGACCAACCCCAGCACGAACCACACCCCAGCACGACCCCACCAGCACGACCACACCCCAGCACGACCACACCCAGCACACCACACCCCCAGCACGACACCCCCAGCACGACCCCACCCCAGACACGCACGACCACACCCCAGCGACCCCGCCCCAGCACGACCCCACCCCAGCACCACCCCAGCACGACCACACCCCAGCACGACCACACCCCAGCGACCACGCCTCAGCACGACCGCACCCACGCCCCAGCACGACCACCCCCCAGCACGACCACCCCCCCAGCACGACAACCCCCCAGCACGACCACCCCCCAGCACGACCACACCCCAGCACGACCACTCCCCAGCACGACCACACCGCCTTGGTTGAGTGGTTGCCTGTCGTCGTGGAATGTTTCGTGGGGTGTCTCGTGGAATGTTTCGCGGGGTGTCTCGTGGAATGTTTCGTGAGGTGTCTCGTGGAATGTTTCGTGAGGTGTCTCGTGGGATGTTTCGTGAGGTGTCTCGTGGGATGTTTCGTGAGGTGTTGCCTAGTTGGGTATCGTGAAAACGTGTCCATGCTCCACATGTCTATATCCCTTTCCGGGTTCGTGGGTCCATCATGTCGTCCAAGATCCTCCTGCATGGGGGACATGCCCGACCTAGCCGTAGTAATTTGCAGGAGAGCAGATGCCTGGGGGCGCGGACCCGTCTCGCTCTGCAAGGGGTCGCGCCCTGGGAGCGTAGGGGCATGTTACGGTGATCGTGGCCTCGAGAGCGCGACTCCCCGGTATGCTAAGATGGATGGTGGCCCTGGAAGCGGGATCGAGCGCAACCTGCGAGGGGTCGTGGTTCGTGGCTCTGGGAGCGCGGGCCCAGCGTCAGCGCAGAGTGCGAAGGGTCGTTGCCCTGCGAGCGCGGACCATTTGAAGCCGCGTGGATCCTTCGACATTTGCGCAGGATCCTGGACCTTGGAGCGCGGACCTGAGGCGTGATGTCCCATGGGAAGGAATACCCTGACCAGAGTTAGCCGGAGGGCTTGGGTGGGTTGGCCGCAGGATCGGCTGGCGTTGACCAGAGGGTTGGCTTCCAGCAGTGGCGAAGCGTCCTGGCGTGTCTATAGGCCTACCACACAATGTTCTAAGAACCCTTCGTGGTTTCCACGACATGTTCTTAGAACATTTCTGGCTGGGACTGTTCTGATTTCTTAGAACCCGACACATCGGGTTCTAAGAACACAAACAACAATAATGTTGTTCGTGTTCTTAGAATATTTCTGGGTTCTGGAACATTTCGTGGTAGGCCTACAGGAATGCCGGGACGGTCGGTCCCTGCTCACTGGCTGACATTGACCAAAGGGTTTGCTGTGGTAAGCTCTCGATAGGCAGAGCCTCCCATTCCACAGGGCAGCCCCAGGCAGAGTGATTTGCGAGGGGCCGTGGCCTCACGGGCGCAGATCCACAGAAGTTTGCGCTGGTTCGTGGCCTTGAGGGCGCGTGTGTGTGTGTGTGTGTGTGTGTGTGTAATTTTTAGACGCCCCGAGTAGCCCCACCAACCCATCCAGAAACGATTCCCAGTGCCCTGATCAGGTGTGTGGAGGAGTGTGCAGTGGAAGGAAGGGCTGGGGAAGCCATTCTATCCCAAGAGGGGGAGGATGGAGGAGGAGGGAGATGGGTGAGGGCGAGGAGGGAGGAGGAGGAGGATGAGCAGGAGGAGGAGGAGGAGGAGGAGGAGGAGGAGGAGGAGGATAATTGGCGGATGAGGAAGAGGAGGAGGCGGAGGAAGAGGAGGAGGAGGAGGAGGAGGAGGAGGAGGAGGAGGAGGAGGAGGAGGAGGAGGGCGAGCAGAAAGGCCAGAGGCCTCTTGGATGCCTCTTGGAGTATCTAGAGGGCTTCTTGACATCTTCCTGCGGCGTCTTGGGGACCTCTTGGCGGTCTCGGAGGCCCCTTGAAGCGTTCTGCTTGTTTGCTTCCGGGGCACCTCTTGGGGCCTCTTGGGGGGCTCTTGGTTGCTCCTGAGTGATCCTTGGGGCCCTCTTGGGGCATTCTTGGGAGCTTTTTTTGGGGCCATCTTGGAGGAGTTCGATAAATAAAGGGGGTGTGCTTTATCATTCTCCCCCTTCCAAATAGCCAATATTTGTCCAACACCTTGCGGAAATTAGTGATTTGTGCCTTCTCGCTGAGAACTTTTTGGACGCTTCAACGACCCGCGACCCCCCCTTATCTAGGTCCAGGGGAGGGGGAAGGGGAAGGGGTAATCCCTTCCCCGAAGGAGAAGAAGGGGGCTTGGAAGAGGAATCTCTATTGACCACTCCCGCCCAGAGGGCTGGTGTGGTCACAAGGGATCGTGCCCGGGAACGCGGATCCATCGTGCGTGATTGAGGGATCGTGGCCCTGGGAGCGCGGACAAGTGGCAGTCTACTTATTTTGTTACGCCGCAGCGCTGCAGAGGAGCTCTGCTCGCGCGCTCTTAGTGGGTCGGGCGAAGACGGCACCAGTTGTCCGGCTGCGTGGCCACTTGCTTTGGGCCGTGGCTTTCGGAGCACGGGCCCTCGATTGCCCCCATGGGGGTCCCTGCCTTGGCTCCTGAGTGCGTGGGTGGGTGCACACCTCATGGGCCGCCGCCACGCGCGCGGGCGCCCCGTGCGTTTTTTTTGTTGGTTGGTGTTTTTTTCCCGGAAAGGGCCTGAGCCCAGGGTTCTCTTTTAGTTGGTTTCCCCCCGGTTTTGACGGCTGTAGGGCCGGCGAATTTCTTTTGCGATAAATAACGAGGTCGCGTAGGACCGGCGAATAAAATTTTGAGGATGTCTCGAGCGAAACGCTTGTTTTTCAGAATTTGTTGAGGATGTCTCAAGCGAAACGCTTGTTTTGTGCTATAGAGTGTCCTCTCCTGGGGACCTGAATTCTGAGGATTTCTCAAGTGGATTGCTTGTTTTCACGTGCCCAGGTCTTGAGGATGTCTCGAGCGAGACGCCTGGTTTCACGCCTCCAGGTGGCCCAGACAGATGTCTAGCATGAGGATTTGTTGAGGATGTCTCGAACCAGAGGCTTGTTTTCACGTGTCCAGGTCGCCCAGGCGGCCCAGGCGGATGTCTAGCATGAGGATTTGTTGAGGATGTCTCGAGCGAGACGCTTGTTTGCACGTGTCCAGGTTGCCCAGGCGGATGTCTAGCATGAGGATATGCTGACAACGTCTTGAGCGAAACGCGTGTTTTCACGTGTCCAGGTCGCCCAGGCACAGCACAGCCCTCGGCACGGTACATCAATATCGATACCCTGAGCATTGCAGCCTGGCATGTTGCCTGGCACGTTCCGCGGAGCGTCCCGTGGCGAGTCCACCTGGCACGTCGCGCGGTGCACGTCCATTGGCACGTTCCGTAGCGCGTCCCCTTGGCACGTCCCGCGGTGC